ATGAAACGGTATCCTAATTGATGTAAATGACTCTTCGTGTGTTCGTAGGATTAAACATTAAACATACCCCTTCATCCTCAACGCCATCATTCGTTGCCAAATTTAACAAGTAAACGAAACCAAAGCATTTTGACATGTAGGCCTCTAAGTTACAGAAAACATCTTCCGTTCCCGCTCGAAAACCGGGACTATCTACGAAGACCACCCGCATATCGTTTTCGCCCTATGTTACAAGAAAAAGAAAAAATAACCCGCAGCATTGCCTAGAGGCTGTGATAAAACTGAAAAAGTATAGAAAAGTGACAAAAAAACAAGGAATTAGGTTTAGGGCAGCTTTGCACGTGGCCCTTGGCCCTGTTTTATAGTTATGTCATATTTTGAAGGTATTTTACCTAGGGGACGCTTCAATAATCTACCTACGGATTGCATTTTCAACAAAGTGATGTTAAATTAATTTGCCAGTGAATTAGGTTTTCTTTTAATCAAGGTTATCAACAGAATAGTCGTCACGTGACAGGATCTAATTTTGTAAACTTTCAACAATAAAATGCCGCCTGTGTTCTCTTTCAAAAAGGAACGTTCTAGACTGAAACTTAGGGTGTATTCACAGAGATTTACATCGATCCAGGGATTAAGATTTAGATCGATCTAACTCCCTGGGAGTTCAAGCTAAATTGCAGTCAGCCGAGCGCGCACCATAGTTAATTACCCCCTTACAGCTTTCAGTAGGCGGGACAGACGCTTAAGCCAGCTAAGCTGACAGTAATCTAGTGAGACTCCCCACAGGGATAGATCGATCTAAAATCTATGGAAATGGGGTGTTAGTCTCGACTAAGATTGGTACATGTACATAAGGTCTAATCTCTCTAATATCTCTAACCTAATCCAAGTTGTAACAAAGTTGCTTTCCAAAATGAATTTATGGGGTTGCTTATCTCGTTTGTCAGTCGTAAAACTTTTAAAAGACTCTTAAAAGACTCTTAAAAGACTATAGCAAGATGGCTATGTAAACTTTGATCGTAAGGCTACTAAGTAATATTTCATCAAACACAAAGGCTAATAGCGCAAAGTTGACTTTACCTCTTCGGCTATCCGGGATGAGCAGGCCAACCTCATAAAAAGTGCAATCCTTTAACGAAAGTAACAACATGGAATAATTAAAGCAAAACTCACCTTTGACGAAGCATCAGAGTCGCCGCTGTCTGGGGAGTCTGTGTCTCTGGTGTTAATCTCTTCTTGTTCTTCTATAGATTGGTCAGATGGGGTCTTTTAAGGAAATTAGATAAAGTTGATATCCTTATGACATGCAATTAATGTTTGACAGTACGAGCTAGGTGTTATTGCAGTGTTATTGTAGCTGTGAGTAACTGAATATCTCAAACATTAAATCAATGCAGTTTTATATGGATCATTAATGAAGGCTGAACGTTATTACGTACTATTAACTAGTTTCATGGAATTGCAACCAAGGATCTCGATTGGCAGTTCAAAAATGGAGAACATACAAGACAACGCATCGTTCATCATTTGCCGGATATCAGCCCATTTCTAAATTGGCGAGAGTGGAAATCTTCGCTAAGAGCGCACTCAGACCAGATGATCCACGGACTAACTGATCCACAGACTAACTGATCCGCTTACTAAATATAGCCGATCCAACTTCAAAAGTGATGCCGCTAATTCCCGATGGAACAAGGGTTTTGACGTCGTTTTGACGGCTTCCATCTCTTAGTATTTCTTGTCAAAAACTTCTGTTCAATAACAGTAACTTGTAATTTACCTGTACCGATTTCATACCTCGGATGCTATCCCCGTAAAGAAATCAACCGGCCAAGCAATTTCCACCCTTTCAAAAGGATTTTCTGGGTCACTGCTGGTTTCCTCTCCCTTAATGTACTGCCTGAGTTTTCTCCACTGTTCTTCAGCGTGATCGGGCGAAGAAAGGTCGAGGTGCTCTACAAGGGCGCCACTCCTATGGTACACGTTCGCCTCGCGTGCCTGACTGTGGTGGATTTCACAAATTAGCGCGGTGGTTTTTCGAAAACCTTCGGGAAGTACATTTTCGCCGATGAGTAGGTTAAGAAAAGAGCTCTTTCCTGACGATTGCTCTCCTGAAAATAAGATGCGCATTTCGTGCATTGCATACGAATCAGGTGGCGGATTTAGGGTACATGTACCAAGAAGTCTTGGGGGTTCTTTATTGTTCTAGGTCTGGAGGAGGAACAGCAAACATCCATGTGAATGATGTTACTTGAAATGATATACTTTTCTTCATTAAGCTGTGGTTTACTTTGAGCTATTCTGACACAGAAACCTGTGCGTTAGGGAAGCAGCAAAATGGTCAATATCAAAAGGTCGCATCCATGTGCAATGTATTTACAGGTAGGATTTTTTAGCTGCACCGAAATCTCAATCAGGTGACAAATATTATCAACAATAAATTGCAGTTTAAAACATAGCTATAAATAAAATCAACAAAGTAGATACCCTCCTGTTGACCTACGAGACTAATTCAGGATCAGCATTGTGATTATTTAACTGTTAACGTTAATTTGGATTTTTGTATCAGTACTCAGTTCACTCACCTGCCACAAGAATAGGGAACTTCTGTTGCTTCAGAGACCCGTAATTGCCTTTAAACTCTTTGAGAAATCCCGGTTTTAGACGGTTCATAAAGAATTTGGTTACTGGACTTAGATTGCGCAGAAGAGTAGAACACTGCTTGTACAAATGTTCACACTCAGCAATGACGTCTCTTGCGTTGGCTAATGTTTCCCTAGATGTATCATCCTGTTGCATATTAAAAGAAGTCAAAATACCAGATTTAGAATTTTCTGTGCTAAAATGCACAATCAATGAATAACTCGTTTACTCGTTAACTCGTTTACTTGGAAGTTGGAAGTATAAAATGAAAAGCGTAGGACATTTTCACATTACCAAGTACATTTTGTATTGCATCACTTTCGTTTTTGGTTTTATCAGTATTTAAATTTGTCTACCACCATTAATGTGCTATCAGCAATTACAGAAATACCGTTACTGCACATTTAAATTTATAGGTTTCGCAGTATTAAGGCATTTCATTATCTTTACTTTCATTTCCTAACGCAGGGCTGAAGTCTTTATTTATTTATTTCTACTTCTTCTTATTATTGTTATTCATTGACTAATTAAACTGTGCTTTATTTTGAAAGCATGCATTAGACATTATTGAAAAACCAAAACAAAAGTTACCAGATTTGAAAAAAAAATGCTCGAAGCCCCTTTAAAAGATAGAGATTTATTTCCTTTAAAACTTACGGTGCCAAAGTCATCAAGTGATGGCTCATGTGGCGGATCTAAGTTCAGCTTTTTGATAGCGTCCAAGACGCCAAGTTTCCCCAACAATTTTAACTGTTCTGGTCCAAAATGTTCCTTCAAATCCTGCGCTGCAGCCATTTTATCTCTCCGGGACGTAGTCACCGCTGTAGTCACTGTACGTCAGGAGCGCTGAAGGATGATGAAAACGAAACGCCTGCTGCCCGTTGGTTGAAACAAAGTCGGGACTGGGTTCCCCTTTAGTTCAGTCAGTCAAATGTTTTTACTACAAAATCAAGGCCGTTTCTCGTACATAATTCTTCACGATGATCATCTGGCTGAACTTTCTAGTCGCGTTTGTGCCGCCTAGCAAACTGGACACTTTAGGCACGAGCCTCCCCTAATGACATCAGACCTTAATGATTCCCTACACGGAAGCGAACTGATAAGGAAATGTCAGCGGTATTGATTGGGAGCATAGATATTTATTACGTGTATTTAATAGCTGTTTACACATATCACTTAGTTCTTACTAGGGCCGATCTGGGTTTGAAAAACTGGGCAGCAACTTTCTTTTCTTTTCTTCTTACTCATCTTCTATTTTTTTTTTTTTTTTTTTTTTTTTTTTGGGGGGGGGGGGTAATTTAACAAATCCCATATTATAACAAAGTACAACGCAAGAGCAGAATACTTGTCCATCAGTTTGAAATTACTGTAATCTTAGCTAGGATCGTCGTCGAACAGACAGACGGCTACATGGTGGACAAGACGTGGTAGGTCAAGTAGGGAGCTGATATCCTTATCATAAGAGATTGAAATCTAAATGATGATCGGCGACAATATACTAGTAGCTTGATGCAAGATATGAGCTGAGCACAAATTACATCTAAAATTGTATCATAACATTTCCCGCAGTCAAAGCTAGAAGGGTTAAAGGAAAATTTGACCCAGTCAACAATTCATTTATTGTTTTCAAGAAAATATCCTTATGTAAGGATGTCAGGTTGTCTTGCCTAGACGAAAATAAAATACTCCCATCACAGATCAAATCTATCAGAGGTGTAAAGTACGGAGAAGACCACAAATTTCATCCAATTTTCATCCGAAGAAATGTCAATCTGTCATTTTGATATTCAATTTTCGTGTTTCGATCGCTGGTAAAAATATGTGAAAAACAAGCAGTGTTACAAAAAAAAAAAAAGAAAAACTCTTCGCCGAAGTAAATGTTTCGCCTCATGCACGTTGGTAGTAAACGCGGAATAAAACATCTCATTTCATTTTTTTTTTTTAGCATGGGAAGTCGCAAGCACAATTCTTAACAGGGAAATGATTTAAACATTCATATCTTCTAACAACTCAGGAGCAAATATCACTGTGTCGTCACTCCAAGGTTGCATCTTTCTAAGAAAAAAAATAACGGCGCCGTCATAACTCCTCCCAAGTAACCTTTCATATCGGATGACAAATTGACACAAAAAGATCAAAATAAGAAGCTTCCCCAACTGGACTCTTTTTATCCTGAATGCTGAACTGAAGTAATCTACCAAAGATGGAATCTGTTTGCAACATTTGGAATGACAGAATATACCAGTTAAACCTCTTATTTAGAACAAGCTACATTTGTAGTTACCTATCAATGGACAAGATATTCTGCCTAAACTGGGAGTATTTTTATACAAAATATCTATCAGAATAGCCAGTCAAACAATTATAAGACTTTTATTTCTCTGTTGCAAAGATATGCTTAAATATATTAAAGTCTTCCTGACTTTAACATGGACAAGCTTTGATAACTATTTACAATTTTTGTTATAAATGCAGCACCAGTGCGAAAAAAAAAAGGAAAACAAATCATAGCATTCTCATCAGCATCAAATTAAACTGAACTTGTGCTGCACAAATGTTTACTATATTTTAAACCATTACAGTTATCTGGGTATGCAATATATCAAAGAATTCACTTTACACTTAAACTTGAGCATTATGTGTTGGCATATCTTTAGTAATACTAAGTGGGTCTATCTTTGAATGCAGTCAGTAATTTTAATCAAAACCACACTGCATAAATGTAGTTAATCTTTAACCTTCTACAAACTGCTCAAGTTATCATTCTATAGTGATATGTGAGTCAAAAGTCCGATCAAACATCCTGTTTCAATTTCACAGTTTATATTAATGCATAACTTGAGTAAAATGACAGTTGGTCGGTGACAGTGGACCTAACATCCTATAAAGTCAGCGTATATGAAGTTGCTTCTTGGGTGTCCCTGCAGGGGTAGAATGGCCGCTAGATGGGGTTGTGTGACCGCTAGAGGGCGTTGCTCTCCTGGATAATTTTGGAAACAACTGATTGGTGACCTTGGCTGCTGGGGTGAACAACATTAGGGGCATATCACTGAAATACAAGAAGTTTCATATTGTAGTACTCTCAAGTCTATTAGTTACTTTCACTGGGACTCATACAACAAAGGCTACTGCAACTTTTTGGAGTCCTTGACAACTTTTTAAAAAGCCCCCTACTTTTGGGGGGCCTACTTTCTAACCCTTTTTTTTCAGTTTTCTCCCCAGTTAAAATCTCAAGACAATTATGCAAAATACATAAAAATGAAGTTTTACCTCCTTTTTAGCAATTTATTCTTTACTGTCATTGTCACTAATGCCACTTAAATCATTGCACTCGGTTCCACAAGAGAAAATAAAATTACTGACAAAAATATTTTGATTCACTAATTTTTCAGACCAGTGTCTACATTCACAAAATGTTACATGTATATTTCAAGAAAGACTTACTGAATTTCATGGATATGTCCAGCTTCATTGGCACTGATAATAAATAGTGGAAAAAATAGGGAGAACACACAGCCACTGAAAAAAAAGATGTATGTATAAATTTGAATCTTTGAAACATGTTTTTTATATTAAGCCTTTGAATTTTTTTTCAAATTCAGGTATACTGAATCAGGGGCGGGTTGATTAGATTACTTAGCTTAATTGTCCAAGGAGAAAAAAGAGGTTGATGGCAGTGACAGACTGGGGTGTGGTAAATTGCTCTGCCCTAAGAGTTCTTTTTTAGCTCTCTTATTTCAAATAAATCTATGCGCTTCTGAACTATCTTATTCAGGATAATTCGTGATACTGACAGCTCTCATATTTCAGGCTAATTTATGGGTCTCTGAGCTTTCTCATATGTTGCTTATTCTACTTACCTTATGACAAAGGAGTCTGCCATAGAGGTCATAATGGCCAAGGGAAGACCAAAGCCCACAAAGTAAGGCCAATTGTTCTCAATGTAAGCCACCCTCTTTTGAAGGGGCCAGTCTGAAACATAAGCAAATTAAATCAGACCAATGTAGTGCCCTAAAAACCCAACCAGTTGGTTATATATTTTTTGCCTTGTATTTATTAATCTGCTTAATTTTAATTAACACCTTTATTGCGCGACACCTATTATTTTATGTTATCAATTTTTTAAAGCGGTGATCACTGACAAAGTTTCCCATGAAATGAATTATGTACACCACTTTCAATATTTTTGGTTTTCTACTAACAGAAAGCATAGACAAAAATATATTATTATTATTATTATTATTATTATTATTATTATTATCTCCCATGCCAACCTCATTTTATACATATATACTCAAACCATCATCGAAATATTTTTCCAAACCAAGTAGCACTGAGATAAAAAAATTTAAAAAACAACCCAGTCTTTTTCTTCCTTCTTTTTCAATCAAACAACATCTGCTTCAATACTGCCATACTTACTCATGTTGAACCACTTGTATTCAAATGAATAGAGTGAGTACAGGAGGCACATGTGAAGTATACTGACTAGATCTCCTATCCCTGGTATAGGCAGTAGCCTTTTGGCCAGCATGCCCTGAAACGACAGAAAGTGCTTTTTACAGATATCAAAGACAAAATATTATTATTATTAAGACAAATGGCAGATACAACAACTGTCCCTTGAGAAAGATGGAGCAAAGACATGCAAAGACTCACATGATTTTTTAAAGCAACTATTATTGCAATCATTTATGGTACTTAGACATTGAAAAGTTGAAACTTGATTAAGATGAAATAGTTGAATACAACATTCTATTACGGTACCTGCACTTACAAATTCAAAAATGGTGCCACTAATACTGCAGTGCTGACAATCCTTAACTAGTAATTAACATTTTCAAAGATATCAGTACTAATTCCCTTACATTATTAAAATACCAACTTTTCTTTATGATATTTTTCTGGTATAAACATGCTATGAGTTACCTGTATTAGAAAAACACTCTCGAGTATAATACTAAACAGCAGGTCAGCTATCAGCATTTGTAAGCTGGGCAGGAGAGGTCTCCCACGGGATTTCCTGTAAGCTGCATCAGCTATATCCTGCAACAGTGAACATCAAACATACAAAACTATTGACTCCAATAATAGCCTCACTCTTACAGAATGTATGTTATTTTTCCCCTTTCTAAAAGTTCTTTTATGCCATAAAACCTTTTCCATTTCTTGAAGAAAGTTACTATTGGGTGTCAATACTTACCTTAAACCCCTATCTCAAAATATGAAAAAACGAAAAAAAAACCCTCCTGAATATTGCTTGATTAAATAGGCAAAACTTTATAAATGATGCATACTGATGATCAAAGTACTTCATACCCTCCTTCACACAATTATGAAAATGAAACTTCCAAAATAAAAGCCATACCACAGGATACATATTGTAATACCTATCTCAGAAAACTTGAAGCTTTTAGATGATTTGTCAGTAAAAAGGCTTATAATATATATATAAATAGACCATGCACACACACCTGAAACCAGAGAGCATTTACAATCTTGCTGAGTATAAAAATTGGTATGATCCAGAGGGCACTGAATGTCCATGTCAAGAGAGGACCCATCCAATGCCAGATAGTGGCAGCAGTTCCACCTGGAAAATATGCACATGCTCTAAACATCATGAACAATGTAAATATAACAACTTCTATTTAATTCACACAAAAACAACATGATTAAATGAGAAAGTACTTCAAAAATCATACTAACAAAGAACTTTAAGCTACCTTTCAGCAAACTTCCAAAAATGTTATTACTTGTGATTTTGATGGCCAGTAACTTAACTTGGGCCCTTTTCACGCTGAGCAGTATACTTTAGCAATAAAGTTTGTGCCAGCTCACTTTGAAAGACAGATAACACAATAACCTGACTATAAGAGAGAATTCACAACCAGTTGTTCTATCTGGATCAAATATGGTGCAACTGACTTGAAAGTGTGCCAAGATTTAGAGACCATTCCCACAGATATTTAGATCGATCTATCCATCTGGGGAGTCTCACTAGATTGCTGTCAGCTTAAATGGTTTAAATGTCTGCCCCGCCTACTAAAAGGTGTCAGGGGGTAATTAACTTTCTTGCAAGCTCAGCTCCCAGAAGCTGACAGCAATTTAGCGTGAACCCCCAGGGAGTTAGGTCGATCCAGATGGATCGATCTAAATCTGTGGGAACCCAGTCTTAATTGCACTGCCCCTGCTAGGACTGGGCATGGGTGGTACCACATATATAGCAGCAACTTCACCCTTGGAAATTATCAATTAATGAACATCTTATTAAAAAGTGCCAAAATGAGTGGCTTGTTCTGTGCATGCCAGTCTAGAGCAAAAGTTCTTACCTGTAAAATAATGAATCAAAAACTGCAAACAAGGAAGTACAGCTCTGTTAAACATATAAATACTGAGCTGAAAATAAAAAAAAAAAGAAAATTTAACATGTGAGTTGAATTGAATGCCTATATAAAATTCATAGTTTATTTTTTAAATTTTCACAAACATTTACTTTTACTTCCTTGACATATTTCAATGCCCATTGGACACCTTCATCAGTCAATTGCAGCACCATGTCACACTACATAACGAGTAAAGCTAGGACCCTCTCTTGGTATTGTTGTTGCAGTACTAAAAGGTATA